CGGCTTATGCCAATCTGGGCCATCTTTGGCGCCTTCGTGATGTTAGTCTGGCTGTAAACGGTCGGATCTACAACGCGTCGGTGAGAGCAGTTTTGCTCTATGCTTGTGAAACCTGGTCTCTCCGAGTTGAGGACGTTAGACGACTCTCTGTGTTCGATCATCGCTGTCTCCGAAGGATTGCTGATATTCAGTGGCAACACCATGTCAGTAATGCAGAGGTTCGGCATCGTGTGTTCGGGCACAGAGATGACAATTCAATTAGTGTTACCATCTTGAAACACCGACTTCAGTGGCTTGGACATGTTCTACGAATGTCGTCCCAGAGAATTCCACGTCGTGCATTATTTGCCGACTCTGGGACTGGTTGGAAGAAGCGGAGAGGTGGTCAGTGCATGACATGGTGTCGTGGTATGAAAGAAAGCTGCAAAGGACTGGCTTGTGTTGGTCCTTCACGACTCCTTGGTTGGGGTCTGAGAGATGGTGCTACACAGTGGCTAGAGACGTTATCAGATATGGCTCGGAATAGAAGCCAGTGGCGATCCTGCTGTAACCTTCTTTTACTTTCTTCATAAAAAGTGGTTCTGTCTCCCTTACCTGAAAGATTTCTTCCGATTGTACCTTTGGGTTCCCTGATTACTAGGACATTACCTTACACCAATCTCTTCGTTGTTGTTCTCTCTTTTTTTGTTGCGCTCCTTAGCTTTTTTTTCTTTCTTTGTATTCCACTTGAATTTTCATTGTTTTGTGTGGCGCATATATATTGGCGCTCTCTTGTTGAAAAATATGGGACTACGGTTAAATAGGACAACCTATCAGAGGTACGGAGGTTATGTTCTTTCTGCCAAAATCAAGTTGATTTGTGTACTACATTCTTTTTTACATGTTTTTTATACCATAAAGTTATTTTCATTGCTATTACTATTATGCATGTGTGAACCAGTAGCTAAGGCGTCCTATTTCCGTCCAGGTTCGGACTCCCCTTCATCTACAGATAGGACAACTAGTAGTTCTACTAACCCTTACACTTAGCGTTCGACTTAAAGTGCGTAAATCTGCACTTGGTAAACGAGTTAATCATCATTATATATCTTAGTTGATAACACATCTAGTTGAAAAACTAGTAAATATTCGTCTTATAACTCTTGATTAGCCTTTGCTTCATATCTTGACATTGGCTAGCTGCTGTCTGTCAAGTTTCGTTGCTCGTTCAAGTTTTTAATAAATGAGAGTTAGCTAGTGTTTAGGATTGAGTCGGTACATAAACATGGTTATCATGCCCTTATAAAGTACACGATAGTGTTTGTGTGTATTATTTTTAATCATCTTGAAAATATCCTTAGTATTTCAATTTATTTATTTTTTAGCTGAAGAAACTGACTTCAATGGATCTGATATGTTAAATAGAGTTCTGTTTCCCTCTCGGTTAGTCACTGTACTTGGTTCATATTTGGTCGATCTTTTTATATTACGCTGTTGCATACGTGTTGATCATCATCAAGTTTCAGCAAAGCAGACTAAAATTCAAAAAATATTACATGCTGTACAATATCATTCTGTACCAACAGCTTTATTACTTTATGCATCATGCGCATTCGGTGGGAGTTTATGGTCTACACGTACAATTGTCAATGTATGGGAATCAATTTATGTTTCTTTATTTGGCCTACTGTTCTTGGAAGTTTTGGATCGTTTAGAGCAATCATCTGATCCTACTGTGAATAAACAATCCTTAATTCTTTTCATGTGTATTCAGTCTGCTGTTGTTGTGTGGGGTACATTTTTGCGACCTACTTATATTTTGTTCATTCTTCCATTAGGAATTATCGAATTAGCATTCATCTTAGTCAAGTTTAAGTACATTTCCATGATTCTTTGTTTACCATCTGTTCTACTTATTTTTTTCAATACATTCATTTGTGTAATAATAGATACATTATACTTTCACAATGTGAGTTTATTACAAGCTTTCCAGGTCGATTTTTCACGATTTAAGTTGATATATACACCTTACCGGTTTTTAACTTATAACTCCAACTCATACCATGTTTCTTCCCATGGCTTACATTCTCGATTTACACACTTCCTTGTTAATTGGCCTTTAATATTTGGACCTATTTTTACATTTCGTTTATTCACTCAACCTTTACAACGTCGTTCAATTTCATCGTGTATTGCTTGGATCAGTGTGGTATTCCCTACATTTGTTTTGTCTATTATACCTCATCAAGAAGCACGTTTTCTTATCCCATGCCTACCGTGTGCTTGTTTCGTTGTTGGTCAGAGTGTTGATGCTAAAGTCAGACATACAAAACGAAAAGACGTTTCATGTACTTGTATAAGTATTATTGTACTATGGATATTTCATCAGTTTATCTTGATTTTATTTTATGGGTACTTACACCAAGCTGGGCTATTTTCTTATATGAGAACCATTCCAAGTAATGTAACTGGATGCGTCACTCATGTATTCTTCAGAACTTACATGCCACCTCGTTTTTTGTTAAATATACCTTTAGAAAAGTCTTCACATTATCCATCACAGTCTTGCAAATCACTTATCGATTTAGGAGGATCTAATGTGACAATTTTAAACAATACAATAAACCATCTTAAAACATATCAAAATTTCTCAGGTATACTCAAATTGGTGAGTCCAGCTGTTTTTGCAATCCTGATTAGAGATTTATTTTTCATCGCTGTATTTTTTTAGAGTAAAACAATACTATATAATTTACTCTATGAATTAAACATTAAGGAGACTAAAATACTAGGAAATTACTCTTACCCACCAAGTAATGCATCTTTAGTTTGAACCTCATTCAGGTAGCCATTGGCTAATGAAACCGAAAATATCATGAACCCGTTTTAAGTTTTGAGCAATCGTGTTTAAATAAATTTACTATTTCTAAAGATCTGAATATTTTTTGGAAAAGAAACCCAAGAGAAATTTTATCTTAACTACTTGTTTTTTTATTAAGTGGAACTACTGAAAATATTTAGAGTTATACCATAATGACTTTTTGGGTTGGTGATATCTGGGGGTCTATTCAACTGGAAGATAATTTCCATGAGTTGATATTTATTGAAGAACTGTTAGACCGTGAGACCCTGGACGCCTGTTTTGTCCCGATTGGAAGCTCCTCAGCAGTATGAGTCTATAGCACTTTTTGGAGTGAAAGCCAGAACTTTTAACATTTGATTACCACTTGTGACTTGTGTTTTAAACATTTGACATAATTCTTGTTCATCGGGTACTACTTCTAGCCGTAATAAAATCGACGCGACTCAAGGCTTAGCACATAAATCTACACTAAGTTTGGTAATAAGGTTAACTTTTGATTTGCATTAGTATCACTTTTTTTAATGCTCTGTTTTTTTGCTTAAGGGTATTTAATTAAACTGTTTAACTTGCTACGGAATAAATAGTTCTTTCCATAAATTTTTATAGTGTAACAAAAAGGAGTTAATCTGAAAAATGTTGTGTTTTCGCCATATACATTACGAACAATCTAGCCACACTTGTCAAACTATTACAATTGAAAAACTAAAAATCAAACAAGATTACTGTAAATATATGGTGGTAAGAGAGTAAGAATTTAATGTAATATGAAATAAATATGTTGTCATCCTGGATTATGGTTTCCTTTTCTTTCCATTTGCCTCTTCATATTTACTGACTAATATTTAATTGGCCTTTATTTGTCTTCCATATATAAACGCCTTGACATATGTGACCAGATAGTTCGAAATGCGTAACTCAAATGCATTTCGGTTTTCATATCAACTCCATCCCATTTGATTTAGTATTCAAGGTTTCGTGTTCAGTGTATCAGTAAACTTTGAGTTATCCATAGTGATTAAGAAAGAGTAAAAGAGCGAACGATCGTCTTCAATATCTTCTTCATTCGGTTGTACAGTTATAAATCCAAAATTATCATGTTTAAATAGACAAAATATTCGTATTGGACAATTGTGTTTTCATAATGATCAGTGATTTCTCTCTGCACATTTAGGCGTATCCTGGATCCATACAACCGTTGGAAAATTTACTTCTATCCTCTTGGGGTAATGTCGTTATGTGTGAACAGTTCTTCCCACATTTATCAATGGAGAACCCGCCATCCATTCGTCATCCTTTTGTTTACGAAAACTGGAAATCTCAATTATCATTACACGTACTAACGATCGAAGTTTAACTAAAATATATTTTCATCTAAATTTTTCTATGTGCTAATGTACTTTTTACATTCGTTTTTTCCATAAATCTCTTCGTATACCATTCTTTTGTTCTGATTTTAAATTTTGGTGTACATTAATTTCCAGAGTTGTTTGCTTTTAGTGTATTTGGATGATGACACTTATCAGTGGGAAACCAACAATTTGTTAGTCTGCCTGGCCATGCACTTAAAATGCCATAAATCCAATACGGGTTTTCAGTCAATCAGTCAGTTAAGATCAGCATAGAGCCTGGCACATATTTATATTTGTTCAAGTTGCCCTGCCACATTTGCACAGCGAAATGAATTTAAGAAGATAAACAGTAAAGAAATCGAAATAATGTTCTAGCAGTGACTCTACTGAAATCAGAAATCCTTCCAGAACTTACATACTTGAAGTGATTGCTAATAAAACTGATCAATATAACTTTAACTAAGTGATATTACTAATGTTGTTGGACTAAGTTACTTTAATACATATCTAGTAGCTAGAAAAATGTACTGTGTTTAGACAGATTGTCCTGTTTTTTTTCAAATATTAACTTATTACATCAGACCGATTATTATTATTATTATTATTATTATTATTATTATTATTATTATTATTATTATTATTATTATTATTATTATTATTATTATTTAGTCCAAATCCACAGCATTTTCGGATACTGTTATGATATACGATCACTAATATTCCGTCTGATTGATGTATATTGGATGGGATCAATTAGAGGCAATCACCGCGTTGTTTTTTGGTAGTGGCGTTTAATTTCCGGAATTACTATGCTGAAGGTATAAAATAATGGCAATATAGCGGTGTGTGTGTGTCTTTAATGAATGTGTGATTACTGTTTATTTCTGCTTCTGCGTGAGTATTGAAAAATGGTCAATTCTTATTTATTTTTATTTCTACTTGTGATCCCTTTCAAGGAGTCCAATACCTTTGGAATGACGATTGATAAACATACTATATTCGAAACATCTAATCCCCTAACGGAATCTGTTAAACATTTACCAGGGATTACTTATGAAAGTCGAGTACTTGGTCATTTTCAAAATCCTGAGTTGTTTCATTCACCTGCCTCACTACCTAAACTGACTCCATCCCCAGACGTTAAGAATAGATCTCATTTATCCAGTATAAACAATAAACCATTGGTTCTGAATATTTCTAATCCCAGATTTCCACCAATAAATTCATCCAAATCGACGACCACCAATGATTTTAGCGGATTATGGGTGAGTTGTTGATTCTGTTACTATAACATTTATTATATATTGCATTTATACTCTAGAACTGGCTAGAAGTGCAGCTGTAATATAAAAGTGCATCCCGGTTTCCATGACAATCTCCAAAAATAACTACTTTAGTCATTGATTGGTTCTGATCCAACCCATGTACTTTTCAACCACATACCTGTTATTTAGAGGACTCCATTAGGAATTCTATCTCTAAATAACTCAGGTCGATAGAGATTATCTATATTGTTTCTGTAAAGTGTTAATTAAAACTAAAGTACAGCAGTTCAAAGGAATTCATCTTTCAGAAGGCTGGCGTAGTTGATTTTCCATTCATCTCAATGGTGATTGCGAATATTCCAAGAAACTTAGTTTTCAGAGCTGGATAACCTGCTTTTATTTATTTCTGAGATTCAATTATTCATTGATGACATCTGTTCTTGAGAAATCTGGGGGCATGAGTTATATGCTATTGTTTATTGGATTTAATAGTTAAATTTACTTCATAACAGGCTCAAAGAACCTTACTAGTAAGCATTCATATTTCGACCTATACATTATCTGAACGCGCTATGACAATTGAAAATATAGGTAGTGTGATTTCAAATCTAAAAATGACATGGATGCATCAATTCTTCACCTTCATACTTCGGACATTCCACCACTCATTATAGTCCCCCTTCCTGACTCCTACTTTTGTTTATTTTAGTATTTTTTATTGTAGATTTCGTCTTTTTATACCGTTACAAAATATGGTTGTTTGATTAAATAATTTCATTCGTTAGCATTTGTACCTATCTATCTTTATTTCAAATCTGATACAGGAAATGATTAGTCAACCACATGTTTCAAGACTTTGACTAAAGATTGCAATATGACAGCAGAATTCAGTGGTTTCTATCCATCTAAAATAAATCCCTTTTGATCACCAACTTAGTAGAGCGTAATTTATAATACACAAAAAATGAAGTCATTTCATCGTAAGGTATTACCTCAACTTTATACGTAGCATAAAAACACATCAGGAACTATCGAGAAGTACATCTGACCAGCATAATTTCCGAAATCTCCAAACTAATAAACGTTTACAAATTTTCACTTGTTTCGGTCTACTGACTTAAACGAATGAATCATAATCTATTCCACCTAGGTAACAGTTTTATGTGGTGATTGTTCTCATCCGAAACTTAGGTATACTTTCTAAGTGGGTTTAATCTTCACGCTTTCCAAATATAGTCGTCTCGTTGTTTGACGACTATATTTATATTGAAATCTGTCAGACATATTTGGGGCTATTTTGCGAAGTAGTGTGGCACCGCATGAGAATAAATTTACGAGCGCTGGCAGAGTTCACTTCTTTGAGGTTAATTTTTTTATAAGCCTGATGTGCTGAGCAATGACCTCTTAGGATTCAGTCATCTTCTGCGGTCAGAGACTGAACTTATATACTTATTTACGCCTGTTACTTCCAATGGAGCATAGGCCGTCGACCAGCATTCTCCAACCCACTCTGTCCTGGGCCTTCCCTTCTAGTTCTATCCAACTGTAGTTCATTCTTCTCATGTCTATCTCCATTTCCCGGCGTAATATGTTCTTTAGTCTTCCTCTTTCCCTTTGGTCTTGAGGATCCCATGTGTGTCCTATCCACTTCCAGCGCTTCTTTCTGATTTCTTCCTCCACTGGGATCTGGTTTGTTCTCTCCCACAGTACGTTGTTGCTAATAGTGTCCGGCCAACAGATCCGAAGTATTTTACGTAGACAACTGTTAATAAACACCTGTATCTTCTGGATGACGGCTTTCGTAGTTCTCCAGGTTTCCGCCCCATACAATAGAACTGTCTTGACATTTGTATTGAAAATCCTGACCTTGGTGTTGGTTGACAGTTGCTTTGAGTTCCAGATGTTCCTCAGTTGTAAATATGCTGCTCTTGTTTTGCCGATCCGCGCCTTCACATCTGCATCAGATCCACCCTGTTCATCAATGATGCTGCCCAAATATGTAAAGGTTTTTACATCTTCCAAATCTTCTCCGTCAATTTTGATTGGATTGTTGCATGCTGTGTTGTATCAGAGAATCTTGCTTTTCCCTTTGTGTATATTGAGGCTTACTGCTGCTGAGGCTGCTGCCACACTGTTCGTCCTCTCCTGCATTTGTTGTTGCGTTTGGGATAGAAGGGCCAGATCATCTGCGAAGTCTATATCGTCCAACTGCATCCTAGATGTCCATTGTATCCGGCGTTTCCCCTCAGATGTTGACGTCTTCATGATCCGATTGATCACTAGGAGAAAGAGAAAGGGTGAGAGTAAGCAACCTTACCTGACACCGGTCTTTACCTCGAACGAGTCTATGACCTGTCCTCCATGCACAATTTTGCAGTGTAATCCATCATAGGAATTTTGTATGATATTGACTATCTTCTGAGGCACGCCGTAGTATCGAAGAAGTTTCCATAGTGTTGTTCTGTGCACGCTATCGAATGATTTCTCTTAGTCAATGAAGTTGATATAGAGTGATGAATTCCATTCAATTGATTGTTCCACAATGATCCGTAGAGTTACGATTTGGTCTGTACATGATCTATCCTTAGGGAATCCTGCCTGTTGGTCTCGAAGTTGGGCGACTGAAGTAGATGTAACGTAATGTTATTATGTTAGTATTGTCTATATGTAAGGACATAACTTCCTTCTATGGATAATTTTATCAAGTATGTTCATTTTCATAGTTGAATTTATGAGTTAATCTAAGCTAGACCACCATTGAAAGCCTGAGAGCACTGGACGGTCGTTTCGTCTGGAGGTTAAGCATTCATGCGCGAGATTGGAGGTCCTGAGTTTGAGTCCCGCGTGACGGATCGTGAATGAGCACTTCTGAGGAGTCCAATACTAAGACAAAACGGCCGTCCCGTGCTTTCAGGTTTCCAATCGTGGTCTAGCTTAGATGGACTCATGAATTCAATTATTAAAATTACCACAATCTCCGCAAATCCTCATTATGTTCATTTTGTTTTCTAGTTTCTGATTGTCTCTTAAAAATTCATTAACGTCACTTCATTACTTAACAGTATGTCTTAGCGAAATTCAAGGAGCCTGTTTATATAGTCACAGGTTTTAATGGATATGTATAACGACAGACTTGATATTGTATTTACGTTGTACGTGTTAATTTTTATCAAAACAGGTATAGTGTGTTCAAAATGTAGACTTTGATGACTGGATTCTCACCCACTGGGTACAGTGTAATGTGGTGTGAGTTTTGGTAATCTTAGTTTTAACTCATCGAGTCTTACGATGTGTACTATATCTTGGGTGTGGAAGTATTTTTGGCTTCTTGGCTACACACATCCGACCCTCGTTAGTATTTTCAAATTGCTACGTCAAAAGTCTTTGGTAGTTTAAATTGAAAAACTTGATTTCTTTTCTTTTCTTGTTGCTTTAATTTAGCCGCCAAATATCTCACTGTCCAACCGTATTATCAACAAAAATAATGATGGTTCACTGATATTACAAAATGATAGTTTTATTCCCAAAGCACTGTCTGACCAACAAGATTTTCGCATTCCAACTAGCATAATCAATGATCAAATAGTTGTTCAAAACCCCTCATCGATCTGTCTTGCGGCAAATAATATTTCTGTAACCATTTCCCCTGCCTTACCAAACCTCATAACTTCGTCTGCATTTTGTTGTCCAACACGTTTCATTCCAGAAAGTGTAAAAACAACTGTATCAAATCGAGTAAGCTATTGTTTCACTCCTTACTTTCTTCTATTCGATTGTCACCTATTTTACTTCGATTACATGATCACTGATGTAGTTCAATAAACATTATGATCAAGTTGTTTTGGTACCATATTTGTTTCTATTGATTTTTGAATGTAGTTTTCAGTACATTTTACTTTAATATACCAGGTATTGATTTTTTAATTCTTCGCACACCGATAAATGTAAGGTTGCCGAGCCTGTTTGCTTTATCTGAGAGATAGTGCTTTCACTTGTTTTATTTGTAGAAAGTCCTATCATTGCCTTATAGATTTCAAACACTGTTACTTCTTGAAGGTTCTGTTGTTTAGTTTATCTTTTATTGACGATGACTTTGTTCGACGTTGCTGCGTTTAAATCTTATCAGTTATCTATAACATCATCTACACTTTGAATAAAACCTGCTTCGTCAAAATTACAATCTGTTTCGCTTTCTTCCTCTATCATACTCATAACATCTGTGTTCAGTCAGTGGTCTTGAGTGCTGTTAGAGGTATGAGGGCGGTTATCACTTCCTGGTTGCCCACACCGAAGAAGGGTTCTTCTGGAGGTACCTGAAAAGGAAATTGGATTAGAGGTGGTCTTAGTGACCTGGGAGCATGACCGCAATGCCCAAGGGACAACTGTTTGAGGTCGGTCACACACGACATTTTTATGGGTAATTTTTGTGTTAGCTCCGTACTTGTTGAGACCTTACCGCCGGAGACGGATATCCGTGGGATAAGGCGAGGTGTGCATTTTTAGGGTCGACCTTTTCTAACCCCACCCCTCCTTGTGGGAAGGCAGCATCGCTGTCATGCTAGTTGTCTGAAGGAAACACCTTACTGCTGTCACACCTCTGTACAGTCAGCAGTACGACTTCGCCTTCAGACCTTAGGTTTGTTGCTTTTAGTCTTACCGCTCTTCAACCGACCTGTCTGACATGGTAGGACCTTGAGGAACAGTTGTTCCAGCCAGTATAGCTCGGTTGGGTCATCACGATAGGCAAGTCCGACCACCACGTCAAGGTAGCAACAACGGTCGGGACATCTGTGTTATTCATTTAGGTTGTCTGTTTTGTAGAACTGAGTTATTTGTACTTATTAATCACTAAACAAAAGCAGATATGATAAGCATCTACGAATAAAACAATGAGAATATAAGACATAAGTAAAGGGGGGAATGCAGTAATAATAATAATAATAATAATAATAATAATAATAATAATAATAATAATAATAATAATAATAATAATAATAATAATAATAATAATAGGAGCTTAAACCAAAACTATGCGTACAAAAGAAGTACGTCTTATCGTTATCGTTACCTTGGCCTTAATTATTCTGATTATCCTATTTACTACAGTCGTTTATTACTGATCTGATTTCTGTGATTATAAATTTAAGGATTCAATGCTTATATTTGTCAGTATACATGATATATTCAGTCAACATATTTGGTGTACTAGACCTGATATCGGTATGGGTCAGATAAACTCATTTGATTTAGTTTATTTTTTAAATCATTCGTGTATATCGATCTCCGTAACAAACTGAACTTACACGAATTAGGTTTATGGATTTGGTTGTAGTTTATTTTTATATGTTTTGGTGTTCAGTTAGTGAAATCAGTGTTTTGTGATCACTAAGTAAATTCCTACCTAGACAGGCGTCCCCACTTTCTTTCTTCTATGGTGAAGAGTCTTGTATCGATCATTTTCAAGCAATTACAGACTATTTATCAACAATATGGTTTCTTTATCACCTTAAATGGAGCACAAAATGAAGGTTTAAGCGGCATAACATGAATTCTTTTACTTCATGAGATCCTCGTCAGCTGCTTAGAGCTTGTAATATTAAAATCCTAATTACAAAATTGTTTGGAAATTATTACACAACTGTACTTAGTTGAAAGTTGCTTTGAACACACATCAGCATGGTATCGTGTTGTATGTCCTTGTTATACTAAGTGATGATTATGATTTCTAAGTATTACAGGTTGTAGGCAACTGACGAGAACCTAACGAATTGAAATTAATTCATGTTATTCTACATAAATATTTGTATTTGTCAATGATAAATATGATACACTACGTTTTTCATAACATTTAGTAGTGCAGGATTTCGAAAGGGTTGTTGCTGTTTATTTTACTTTCTATCTTTCAATAGTCACTTCATGTGCTAACAAAATAGTGACTCGAAATAATCCTACTGTGTGTTATAATGGTATAACCATACATCAATGTTTTGCACTGTTCTGTATAATTTTTTACCAGACATTCTGTTTTGTCAGTTCGAGGAATGTGGCAAAACTACCGAGTGTGTGCGTTCATTCAACATTAATAAATCAAGAAATTCACTCTAGTGTTGCAGCTCCAGGTTAGCAATAATTGTTTATTTTGATCATTTTATTCTATTTTATTATTTAATTTGTCTAATTTCCTTACGGTTAGTATGGAAATGGGACGCAACTGGGACGAAATGATAGCTTCATAGTAGGTAGTACAATAGGAAATTTCTCTTCAGATACAGATCACCAGATTGTATCCCACCTAGACGTAAATGCCTTTTAGAAGATCATTTCCTAAATAGATATATCTACTACTTTCATTACCACTAGAGTTGACTAAAAGTGCAAAATGGATGTGTTGTGTTTATAAACTAGCCATTTATTAACTGGGGATATTATTCAATATCAATTGAATGTGATATATTATCATCGACTATCTATGGTAATTGTAATATGCTCAGATTTATAATGTATAAGAGCTAACCATTTAATAAAAATAAATGTTTGACCCACACAGATTGAAAAGTTTGCCGTCATTTAAATGTTTTTAATGTTCTTCCCTAAAATGTCTTACTTTCAGCCACTGTGGATTATAACAGTTTTCTATATCTAAAAGGGTAACTTTGTCTTTAGTGTAATACTACATGGAGTTGTTCGTAGTAGTTTTAACATTATTTGTTAACGTTTTGTCATTCCAATAAACCCAGTGAAAAGCGAGTGGTTTATGAGGTTTTCTCCAAAAATGATAAACTATGAATCGCTTAGTAGTTCTTTCCCAGATCTCCCCATTTATCAGTCGAGAAATCACTACATAATAAGCTACGTAATTGACTTTGTAACCGTAATCCTCAAACAGAACTGCATACTTTGATTATTTTTCATGCATTAAATTTGGTATGATGAAGTCTCGCCAGGCAGTCAAAATAATCATGGGTTGCGGAAAGGTACAGGCGTTTAAATACTGTTTTGTGACGGTGTGTTTGATACCTTGTTTAGGCGACTAATTAAAGTATTCGCAGTTCGAGTTTGAACCCCCTAACGGTTCGTAGCCAAATATTTTTTGTGAAGGCTAGTACTCAAGACTGAAGTGGGAGGATAGAACGTTTCGGTTTTACCCATACACGTCATTGTTAGTTGTTTCGTTTCGCACATATGTTCTTTCCATTTGTCAACTGTAGATGTAAGTTACTGTGGTGCAATACCTTATCCTCGTTCCCAACCGCCCAGAAAATCGGGGGATGTTTCACAAGTTGTAAGTTTTCTGCTTATTCTGCCTTTAAATATTTTTTTTTCTTGGTCGACTACATTGTAGTGTTATTTATGCCAGATGCTGTAAAACCCTAATGTTATCACTTTTTATTCAAGCAACTACACGATTTTATTTCTGTAACCAACGTTCCTAACCTAGAGGTTAGTAAGCGTTCCATCTAATAAAACTTTAATATTTGACTAGAACTATCACGTCAAGGTGGCAGATATCGGTGGGTATTCGATATTCAAACAAACTCAAAGCTGTCAGTTTCAGTCATATGCATCCAACTTGTGTCTTTCCCTAGATCATGAGCCCTAGTATTCCTTAATTCATAATCCCTTTTCATTATATCATTTCGGTTCATATTCTAAATGCTTAATCTTTCCTATTACCGTTACTACTACGTTGTTTTGGTTCCACCATTTATCTTATTAGTTTTATCTGGTTGTGCTAATTCAGTATGGCAACTTGGGCTAATGTAGCTTTGTCCCCGGGTCCACATTGATTATGAATGTCTAGCTAACACTATAAATGCCAATGGTCTTATCAGATTGCATCCATCAGAACCTCTTGGGTTCGTTTTTTCTCACTAAAAGAGATACAGAGAAGCATTTTATCGGAACACTCGTGACCAGGCTTGGGTTTACGTTGTGTTATTATCTATTGTAGCTACATCAAGTAGTTTTAACCTCGACTGTCTATTCTCTTAGATATACTACTAACGACTGCACTAACTTCGTCTGGTTTTTTAGTTGTTTATCTGTTAACCAGATAAATCACTACCCGGGAGTATTTTATCGATACAATCCTGTTTGTTAGCTGTACTAAGTCCCGTCTCCGGAAACCCCTAGATCAACAACGTGAAAGTTTACATCCCTTTTTCGCCTAGTGGCTGTCGAAGTGTCATCGCAGGTACAGACTTTGGTTGTTAGGTATTTATTGAACTACACCATTTGTGGAGCAGTCAGGAAACTAATGGGAACAAATCTTAAATAGCATATGTACTACACAGTTCTTGTAGCATCACTAACTTTGGAGAGAAATCCTATTTATAGGTGAATCACAAGAAAGAAATTTCATCCTGATTGTAACTAGGTCACAGGTTCAAATTCTGCCAGACATTTCAATTTTATGATTCGTCTATAAATAAAATTTATATACAATAGTTTCCTTGTCTAATAGCAATTAGCTCCGTTATTAAAAGCGTCTTTAGATTTTTTAAAATTTCTCTAACCCCCTTAATATTATGTTTTTGAGGATGTTGCTGACTTAGTAAATGAATGATTTAAATTTCCAAAGTTGTTGAAAACTGGGGTTGAGTTGGATTTTGTCAACCTTTTTAGAAATTTTACTATCTAGCTATTTTGTTTGGTTTTGCTTTAGCCCGTCAGTACACTATCTTCTTTTGTCAACGAAACCAATCATTTAGAAGAATCCTGTCTTGATATAGCTAGTAAGTTGAGATTTGTTAATTGACTTCTAATTATGCGAAATATATGTCTATGTTAAGGTGTTGTAAGTGGGTTATGTCGCGTAAATTTATTTGATAATTTATTTTATCGAAAACCATTCCAATCATGTATAATAGTATACCCAATAAAAATAATTTAAATAACTGTTAATGAGTGGAAAATCAACACTCAAGTAGTCGCCTTATCATGGAAAACAGTTATTATTTTCAACAGGTAAGGCACATTTAGACATTGCTCCTATGTCACAGTCCACATGCGATAAGTTGTGCTATCGACACGTCTATATTGTCTACCTAGCCTGTTATAGTAACGACAATCATTTCTACACGTCAACTGCAACACTAGAGAGAAAGAAAGCACGAATTGCGAGTAAGAGCCTTACTTCAAGGTTATTTTATGTAAAGGAAAACGAGGGTATTTATAGTTACATACAACCTTGCGCTCTGAAAATTCCCTAAAGCATACTAAATACAGTAGCAGTATCGGTCATTATTTCAATCAAAACAGTGATACATGATTCTGCATTTTTAGATATTTCTGTGAAGCTTTTATTCAGCGCTGATTGGACGAAACACTTCTTGGAGTTTCTAGGCCTCTAGAGATTTTGACGACGGATATTTTAGAACTTCCCCAACAATATGTATAGTGTAATATAAGCCTATCATGTTCTTTTCATCGTCCCCACTTTTTAATAACTCAAACTCAATTTCTTTTTTGAAAGGAAGCCATTTCAAAACACATCCAGGATGTAACGTCGAATAAAATGTATGTCATGCGTGATTTTAAACTTAGTTCCTTCGTTTACCCAAATATAGGTTATCTCAATTAGGACAAAACACGCTTTCTGAATTCCACTACTCGCTATTATCTCTTTCACCAAATTAATCCACAGTTGGAGGTGTTGTGCTATCTGAGCCGGATATTTTGACCATGAAGCTTTGGTTGTTCTTCTGAACAACACTATCTACTTCAAAGGCAATTGAACAGTTAGGATTGTCCCACCATCGACTAACAACTTGTTCTGCTGACCTTGAATTGAATGAGCTATGATCCATTGTTTACCTTTGCACTTTTTTGCACTTTTTCTAAGATAACCTTTGTTTATTCATGCCATTTACATGAAATTTTTCAAGAAAATGTTTTATCTGTTGTTTTTCCTTTAAATTCATATAATTTATTAGATATATTTACATTTTCTTCAGATCTAAAAAATGCTCCTGATAAGTCGATCCAGCAGCATGAGCTATCTCCACCTAAAAATTTATTCCATTGTGATTACTGTACTTTTACGTGAGTAAATTTAATTTGTTCTTTGAGAAAATTATTCAACCTTTTTTTAAAACGAAAATTCTCGTTTATTTTGTGTTTTCATCATAGATATACACTCTAGGATTTTGGGATGCAAGTACATCCAACTGAGTCCCAAATAGGATAGAATTCGCGTCCTGTATTTTACTGCTAACCATCATCTATCTCTGCTTAATTTGTCTAGTTTGGCCCTTATTTTTCATGAAAATATCTAAACTAGTCAGTATATGATCATGTTGTTCGACAAGTTATTACGCCTATAGATATCACATGGTTATGATCATTTGACTTCGTCTTCTGATTGGATTGTCTGCAAATAGGTTGTTTGGAATAGTAGTTATATAAATTAAATTGTATGGCATCTATGTGTTTATATAAGAGTTTGTCTTGTTTCTAAAATAAATTTAGGATTTTTTTTATTGAACTTGAACTTTTGTCAGGAAATAATTTCCATTAGCTTAAATACTTAACGCGTTACATCCAATAATTGTTCATTTTTTAGTGCCTAAAATGTTATTTAACCAAAGTATTGGTGGGGTATATACATCTATTCCGTATTTTGAACATTTTGTCATTTTATGTTTAGTTCGCTCTCTCTTTCACTTATTTCTTGTGGTATTTTTGCGTTTACCCTTCAGCTCTTATTATTACTACCATTGTCTGCATTCTCTTTACGCTTTTCTCTTGTTGCTTTTAATTTGCTGTGTCGAGATTAAGTGGAACAATGTAGATCGATAGTTACTTATCCCATGCCTTAAGCTGTATATATTTGCTAGTCTTATATGCTTTCTGATTGTAACTAATGCCTTTAGCTTAACTCTTTGTATTGCATTAATAAGTGGTATTATCAACTGCATGTACTAACACTATACTAATGGTCTTCTAGTTGATACATTTTAGTTTCATATATTTAATTTAATCTAATGTTTAGGAGTCATGTGCAAATATGTAAATTAGAAATGAATCACATATCTGATGCGCAATCACCAATGTAGTACAATGATTTCTTCTTGTACTTTCAGATACCTTTTGTCTTTAATTTGGTTGTTGTATTCAATAATTTAATATTCAAATTGTTTCGTTGAAGTATTATCATTTACATGTTAGGTAAATTGTTGATTTTATCTTATCTGTTGCTACATTTGAAAATGCTTGTTTAAGGACGATTAATGATATAACTCAGCAAATAAGTTCTATTTTATCTATTTATTTATTTCAACACATAAATATTGGTACAAGAGGGCACCAAATATATATGCGTCACACCATATTTGTGTGTGTGGGCTGTGATTCTGCCCGGGCGCCCAGACCGAAACAGGTGGTTTTCTTAGGGGACCACACCCCGAGCCTTTGACCTAAAGGTCTGACCCACAAGGCAGTGGAGCATCGTGAGGAGATGCATTCCCATGGTAGCTGGTGACCAAAGATTGGTTCATACGCCATTTGTTCCCGCAGGATACTGGAGCCCATGTGCACTATTGGTTTGAGATCCGGTTAAAGCACCGGACATTCGCTTTTCGTCCTCTCATTTTCGTAAACAACACCCCCGCCACGAGAAGGCAATGAGTAGGACTTCCCTGGCAGAGGCTGTATACGCATGGCCATGTGAGAGCATTTCGAGAGGGGGGCGGGCCCAGCCCACTGTCGGTCATACCAGAGCATTTGGGGGCTGTTGTAATAATTTAATTTTATGATATTATAAATTATATTAATATACTAAGTTGTTAACTAGTGCGAAGTAAAATTCAATTTAAATTGTTTAAAGTTTGACTGTTATTTGGCGTAAATAAAACTTACACAAAATTAATATCTTTTGATATATTTATTTGAGATTTGTTCACTACATAATAAATTATCATCTATTATCTTTGCCTTCGTTCTTATATCGAGCCATTTTAGTTTTTGTTCATTTAATTAAATTAATCAAAAATAGCCTAATTTCTTGAATTCATTCAAATATTATGGTGACACAAACTTTGTAACTGGAGAAAATTATTGTTTAAATAACTGTCTGACTTACTGTAAGTAATATTTTCTGTAAATTAGTTCACTTAACCTTGATAGCTTTTTCATATATATGATTGTATTTGTAAACATGCTTGCATCTTCTCTTGAAGGTTATTTTGCTTATCATATTTAATGTTCATCAAAAGAATTTCTTCACTGTAAAAATCGTAAGTGCAGTTCGTTTTCTTTAAACTTGGTGAATTATAGTTGACTGGTTAGAACAATGCGTAATAGTAATTCAATGTCTGTTGTTTCAAATTGCAGCAAATAATCGTTTCTTGTCTGTTTCAGTGTTTCTAATGCAAAATAATTTGTGTATCTTATTTATCTATCAAGGTCTTCGAATTCCGATCGTCTTTTTCGACATATAAATTCACGGCATTTATCATCGCTTGAGCATGATAAGGTAAAACCTTCATGCCTTCAAGTTTATCCGACATCTTTATCTGATATTTCGAATCAAATTATTATCACATCTGATTATTCTTCGTTATCGTCATCTTCGTTTTCGATTACTAATTCCACTTCATCGTTACCGGTTACTGATTCTACTTCTTCAAACGTATTTGAAACAACAGTATCTAGTAAGTCCACGGTTTAGTTATTCCCTACTCAGCAAATGTATCAATATCTATTTGATAAAAATAGGTCTTTGTTAAAGTAATTTTATTAAAATTATGTGCAACGCAAAAATCAACCTTAAAATTCACGTGCTTCTTATTAGCAGTCGCTTAGTGGTTAAGGTGTTTGATTTTCAGCCACGAATTCCCACGTTAAACTCCACTCCACCTACTTCAATTTAAGCAATCTAGTAGTATAATTAGCCCTCACATTTAGGGCGCAGCTCATACATAAGTACCTGTTAAATGAGTTAATTAAAATTAATCAAAATTAAATCTTATTGATCAGTAAATTACACTTTTTCAAAATCATGAATTCATCTTTAAAAACAAGTATTGAAATTTAGATATGTATAATGTTGTTACGTAGCTTATTTGTTTTATAGTGTTTGCAGTTTTTTTATTATATTGAAGTAGATTATTTTCTCCATAAAGACCAGTAAATGTTCTGTTCCTTTGATGGGTCATAAACATTTTTACAAATAATTCCACATAGTTAACGCGATATTCGTGTTGGGCCACTATAAATAAAAGTCATGCAAATGGTATTCCCGAATATTCCAAGGAATCTATTTTACTTTTAATCTGTTATTCAGTACATCAGTAATTATATTTGTTGGTTGACAGTTTAGTTTCAACAAAAGAATGAGGAATGAGTTCTTGTTAATTCATGTACCGAACATAATCGCTATCAGGAGTAAGTGTTTTGTGTAATCTTTTACATCTTTTCATTTTCACTGCATGATTACACAAAAAATCTTTCACTAATCCTAAGTACTTTAAACTCTTTACAAGGGTGAGATCCATCAGGCTATTCGCGAGATAGGAACCAATTAGCATTAACTTCGAAAGTTCGCTCTAAAACCTTGAAGATAGTGTCTTTTTGTTGATTGATTCGAGAGCATAATATAGTTACTCTATTATTATCAATGATGATTATATTTTTGTTGTGTTAGTGATCATAGTAAATTAGGTCCCATGCCCAATCTAATATACCCAATTTCGTTCCACTGATTTTTGGCAGATTCATTTTAATTTAAATGCTTCACTAGATTAATAAAAGGTTTATCACACTGTTTTTTTTATCGGAATTATATTACAAGCTGGTTACATTCTCCTCTCTTAACATCTCTTCAATTTCTGAATTTGCATTGAACTTGACAGAATTAAGGACAATGTTTTTATACCAGAATAACATCTAAACCATATAGAGTAGAAAAAAATGTTTTCCTAAGAATTATGGTAGAAACTTATGCTAAATACATTGTCAGCTGAGAGAATAACTTTATTGTCTCCTGTGGTAATCTAGTGGTTATAAATGATTCAGTTGGTTTATCTCAGTCATTGTGTTACCTGAGATTTCTGAAGTTAATTGGTTGGAAGTCGAACCATCTAACATTACCATAACTCCAACTATTTTTTCCACGATCTCATAGGAGTTAGGGTTTTATTCATAACAAATCAACTACAGTCTAGCAATCACTTTCATAATGATTGTTATTGAAATGAAATTGAGAACATCGAAAGGCTCTATCTGAGTCACATTTATCTCATCTTATTCACTGTAGTTCAATATTTGTTATTTACACCCCAATTAATTTATGACTTCCTCTAGTGACGTGAATATTTCTGATGGTATGCCTTCAGTGATGAATTTCATGTGTTTCAGATACTTTCAAATTGTTTGAGCTGTGATAATAGTTGTTTTCCAATCATGTTAAATTCTAAGTTCTATCGATATTAAAGTTTTACAAATTTAGTAGCTTGTTCTTTTAGAACCCACAATTTCGTAACAGTGAAGAAAATAGATGAAGGTAATCTCAGCTACTTTATTCATGTATTAAAATAATTTTGTTATTCTTCTCTCATATTTATTAATTTTCATTGAATATCTAAGTGAATGATTGACTTTCTAGTAGTAATATAAATTCGCTTCCGTAGATCCTGCTCTAGCGTACAAGGTAATGCTACACTTTTTATAGGCCGTTATGTATGTTTTCTTTATTTTGTCAAACGCATACCTCTATTAAGCACCTATTTGTATAATCTGAAATTTTTGATATACAAATCAGTCTTCCATGGACAACAATAAAGTTTGTATATTGCCGAAAAGTTTACTCCTGGATCTAATTTGTTTTCAGCATTGTATTTTCGTTTCTTGTTATTCATCAGGACTCATAAGGTTTTGTTATACTAACTCAATATGTTTGATAAAAGAAAAGGAATAAGTAAATGAATCTAAGATATAAGTTACTTTTCACACTTAGTTTGTTTAAGTGCATAATTATGAATATGTTTCTTTTTTATCGGTCGTCAGGGGGATAACTGATCTGTGTGGATAACGATGATTTGTAACGATTATGAAAGACCTCAGATTTCACGGGAATAATATTATCGCTGTACATGTTTTGATGTCTACGATCGATAATAATAATAATAATACTTATTACTATTATTATTAGTAGTAGTACAGAAATATATTCTTACCCTTGTTTTTGTTCAAAATGTATTAGGTTTAGGTTTTCCTCCAGTTTGCAACTTAGGTTACCTATTCCGCGCTATCTTACATAATATTCTCTGTAAAGTTATTTAATTTCCGAATAAACTGTTATGTTCTATGTCCACATAAGTGAATAAAGATGTGTTTCATAGCTATGGAATGTGACTATATTAAACTTAGTGTTTTATTTTTCTGTGAAATTTGATCTAGATACTCCTTCGACTTTTACAACTCACGATAATAATAACTATAGGTCTTGTAATCTACTTCCATCCGAATCGTTCCCAAATATACCGGTTACAGTTTGGTAAGTTGATATTGGTCTATTTTCGGAAAAAGAAGAATGACTTCTTAATAATTATATATATTACGTAAATGAAAAGTAGAATGTTTTAATGCTATATAATAGTTCGTTTCCTGTCGTGCGAATAGCATTTTTCGCAAAAGTATAATACTACTTATGATATGTCAGGGACTGTTGTTAGGTTAAATCGTTTAAATACATAGAATTACTTTCGTATAATGAGTGATTTTTAATGACATTTAATTGTGAATACAGAATCAGTGTAGTATATTTATATGTCTAGTGAAATGCTTTTTTAGTTTTCTTTAATTTGACTATTCTGCTGTGTAGTGGGCTTAGTGTATACAATATCTAACAGGACAGATGAGTGTAAATAAGCTCGTTTAAACTAGTAAGAGGAATCTAGGTGTAGATTGTAACACGTGATGAAGTATACGTGACCAGAGAAATATCGGGCTATTTGTACAGAGATACAAGCATTTTGTTACTGATCGAAACGACATCGTCTATTGAATAAGCTAATTAAAGTGCTTAATGAAGTTAAAGGCGTACAAACTTAGATATGGATGAAGATACTATAAACCACCCTACTGTCGTAACTGAATAACCCACTGAAGAAACGCTAGTTAGCAATGCAAAAATTCTTCTCCGATGATCGATTGAGAAGGCGAAATTCAAACAGCTGTACTTGCTTCTATAGATTTATATGACTAGACCTGTGAATAACTGGACCACAACTCAGTATTACTATGCAGGTGCAATATATGCAAAAATAAGGCATTGAAAATACACAATTGGAATACTACAGACATATATATCGGATGGCAGAAATTAATAGATAAATTGAATGTTCACAGTTAGTAACTAATCATTCAGAATTAAGCGTACGGAGATCTCCGAAACATAGCTTAAAAAGTTTGTCAAATTTTATGCGTCTTTTGCACTGGAGTGATTGTTGATGCCAAATACTTCGAATATGTAAGCATCAATTATTTTTCACGAAGAAGCAAATTTAATATATTGACAAAACTTAGTACTTAATTTATGAAATAACTTATTTGGTGAATTTTATCTAGTTTATTTGTAATTGTTAGTCAGGCCTTAATTTCTATAAGTTTAATTGATTTCTTACTTCTAGTATAAGTAAATCTACTTGTAAAAATTCTTCACACAATACTCTATCAAAGTCGTCAAGTCGTCGAAAACAAAGTTTTCCATTCAAGATGCCGGCTGGTTCAGACCTAATCCAATTGCCTGTTGTTTATTCAAATAATCGTTTTTGTGATTTACCACTTCAGAGCGTTGAATTATCAGTGAATAATAAAGGAAGTACACTTCTAAATGAATCTTCGGGTTCATCCTATGCGTCTGGTAGTACATTAGATGATACCTGTGATGAAAAAGATTCAGTATTTTTAGGATTTACTCATATGGGATCATCACGGAAAAGGTTAGATATTGATAGTGTGTTTGATATATTTCATTGAGAATGTTTATGAATTCATATGTATATTTTCTTATTTAACATATTTATTTATATTTTGCCTTAGATTTTTTTGTTAACTGTTTACATGACGTTATACTTTACAGAACGTGGCATATTTATAATCTTTAATCTATTGTATGCCCGTTAAATCTAAACATGCGCAGTTAAAGTTGTAGATTGTTTTACCTGCTCGGTATACATTTAGTTGTACATCTAATGAAGATCCCTTTAAGTCACAAACCTGAATTCGAGGTGTATAAATGATTAATGTTAGTGCATTTACTTTTCAACAGCAAAAATTTTTTAATTTATTTACTATGTAAGGAATCAACTAAAAAAACTTATACAAACAATCTATAATTAGTTCAGTTAACAATTAACAGTATTCGAATGCTTGCTATTCTAATCATTTTTTATAGACATAGACTATTTCGGTATTCTTATCATACTTTGCTGAATATTTACAATATTCACTGAGATTTTTCTCAACAAAGAGTGTATTGTGTAGTAATGTAGATGTTTAAGATCAACTCCTTAAGAGAGTATAAGCTATCAGTCCGAAAAGTTATATATTTATCATCCGGTTAATCTCTTTTTTACTGATTCATAAAGACCTAAATAATAGTTAACTGCCTATCTGATAAAAGCCAGTATACATGGGTTATACCACTTGTTATTAATAGATAAAAAGAGTATAACAAAGAAGAAAAGGAACACTCAAGGGCTGAGAAGATTCCAGGAGGGAAGACAACATTTTTTTTGTTTATTAGATATATACAATTCCATGTATATAGTAACCTATAACAAGCTAAGTAACGTAACATACTGAATAATAGTTATGTGGATTGTGTTCAAGTATTTCTAAGCTTTAATAACTATTGTTTGTATAAAGAATTTATGTGCTTCACCGATAGTTAGAAAATGATAAAGATTAACTTCTAGTTTTCATGTCTCAGTTTTGTTTTATAATGTTCTTTTCTTATAGGCTACATTCTCCGGAGGGTTCAGAAACAAGTTTATTCCATTCATCGAGTCAACAAAAAAATAGACATCGAAAGAATCGTATTACAAGTAATCGCCATAATGTATGTCTTTTCCCTTTTTTTCTATTTTCTTGAATGATATTTGTGTCGATAACTTGTTACCTACGTTGTGTTTATTGCCGTCTACTGCCAAAAATAGAATATAAACTGATATTCCACTTCAGTACAAAGTATTGATTGATGGTCGGTCCGTCATAATCTATGTTAGAGCCTGATATAAGTGTACGTTAGCCCAAGTTTCTACACTACGTTGGCACGACGAGATAAAGTTAACATGATAAATAGTAGTCGGTTTGAAACAATGTGGTAGCAATCATCATAAGAAGGATTAAATATTAACAGCCTAGGAGCTTAATTGGAGTGCCCAAAGAGACGGCTGCTTGAAGCCAGTCACACACGGTCTTTATGTGGGTGGTTTTACATGTATAAACTCCGTGCTTTCAAACCCTTAACTCTTCGGACCAAAACCAAATTAGCTCACCTGATATAGTAGGACCTAAATGAACAAGTGTTCCAGTCAATATAGCTCAGTTAGATCATCACGATAGGTTAGCTCAATCATCACTTCAAGGTGGGAGCTACTGTCGGGTATTCAATGATAAAAATAATATATTTGTCAAATGTTGGCGGGATTCAATTTCAATTATTGCAGACCACAATGTTGTACTTGTTGAGATTTTTATTGGAGAAGTGCAATTACGAATTATGAGACTTAAACCAACATCGATTAGATTGAAATCCTGTTACAGTAAATTATTATTCAGTGGTAACACTAATCAGGGGATTTCAATACATTTTTACCAAGATCCATGTTACCGGGATAAATACTCAGTTTGAAATATTCTAATCATTTTTTATTGATATATAATCGAAAAACCTGTTGTATTTCGTGTTGAGTACACTGGGTCAACATGAAAAAGCCTGGTATTTTCACTCTAGTAAGTGGGCTAGGAAAAAGAAGTGAATATAAGCAGTTTTGTTTGAGATATTAAAGTCGGAATAATGAAATCATTAGCACAGTACACGAACGTATTAGATTTTGAATACCAAAAACTTCAAATCAACCAACTTATTAATTATCTACATTTAATTTTTTTTTCAATTATATCTTTTTTCATACATGAATATTTTTGACCGTGATCATTATATAAAGTCTAATTATGCTGATTGTGTGGATTAGTTATGAAATGTTGTTTATTATTTTTAGCAAATGATTCCATAATTGTTAGAGTTATTATTGCTATTATTGCCCTGCTAAAAATCTTAAAAGTAGATATCAGAACTCATTTTATAGATTCAGTTATGTTTCAATGTAATATTTATAGGCGATTCCCTTTTATATTATTTTGTTAAATATTTGACAATGTATACGACGTCGGATAAGTTTTCAAAAAAAACCATTCTAATCAATTTAAGGAAATTTCAGTCAGAGTATATTAGCGTTTGAACTTGATTGCTAAATCTCTACAGTCTAAAATGATATGCTTAATTGGTGTGTGTCTCTTTTCACGATATCTTTATGCATCAGCAAGAAATGCAAGCCACTAATTATAGGGTTTTGTGAAATGTATAAAATGATTTTCTTATCTCTTTTTTGTATTGTAGATTTTCTGTAAAGTGTATTCATAAGTATTTATAAGAAAACTTTCCTATATACTTTTTGTAGGTCACGTCATTAGTTGATCGTGGAAAGTCAATCAATTTTTCATCCTACATGACAATTTCAAAGCAAGAAACCAAAAGATATTTTACTAGTAAAGAGTCTACTCTTCTACCAGTAAACTCCTCTTTTCCACTACGTGATATATCAGTTACATTGGAACGTTTAAATGATATTCCGGAATACAGTCATACTGATTCAGATTCATCTATTATAAATATAAGTTCCACCTCATCCGAATATTCTTACCAAGATACCCAACGTTTGACACCAGATAAAATTGAAAACCCTGAATTAGAAAAACAAAGAATGAAAGATGGGTTTTCTCTTTCTTATGATAATTTCAAAAGTAGCGAACAAGGTACTCTGTCACATAAACATAACGAATTAAATGAAGACTCTGAGCAAATTAAGAAACATCCATACTTAAATGAGCTTCCAGTCGCCGTAGATTCTAATCAAATTGAGATGCTTAAAATGTCAAATAATCGTCGCAGACCATCTGGTGCGAAAAAATACTCTAAACAGCTTGAAATTCCTGACGAGTTTTTAACTTTGCAGTCTCGAAGTGAAATGGAAGCTGATGAACTTCAAGTGGATATTTTGACAGGAGAAATATTTGTCAAGAACATACCTTTGCGGTCTCTAGTTACAGGTTTGAAGCGTCCACGATTTTACCAGTTAGAACTGGATTATAAAGTAAGACTTTTTAGATCCAGAGGTCATCATTTTGTAGCTAGTTACTTCCAAATAATTTATAGATTACGTTGTTTTTATTCTTTTCCGTTGCTTATTGTGAATATTTTTCATACTATCCTGAGGCTCGTTAATAATCATCTTGTTTGAAAACTACTAGCATTTCTGAAGGGGTTAGGGGTTAGACCCACTCACTGTTAAGAAGCAACGTTTGGAGATATTTTTGAATACTTATTCAGAGTTTCACTTTCAAATAGCTTCACATTATTTCATCACATTAAATATATCCCCAGTATCTACTGTCTTGTTTTTATTCCTGGGCGTGCTTATTAATCTACACGTATTAATTATGGCATTGAGAAATATACTAGATCATATACTTGAGTTTTATTTTCTGATGTTATTTTTAACGTAGCGTAACCAGAGAAACACCCAGTTATCCATGACCCTTCTCCCTAGTCGGAACATATATGGAAACATTTTATGCTTTACTTAATCTAGTGAAATGATTAATATTTGTTTATCGCAAGACTTCATATGATAGCGGATGCCAAAATCAAATCCACAATACATTTGACTAATTTACTCATAAATTTATTTGACTAACCGTTTGTCGATTTTTCTCTAGCGCATGTATATTTTATAGTCATATAAGTAACTTGTTGATGATATTATTTCATCTTTTAATAGAAATATTTACCTCGAGGTGGTCGTAGTCAACCTTTTAGAAATTCCAAAGGTCAGCATCCTTTTTCAAATAATTCAAAAAATGTACACAAAGTTAACAGTGTAATTACAACAGCTAACAAACGATCAAACAAGGAAAAAAAGTAATCACTAAAGCTAATCCAAATAAATTTAATAATGCTCAAATATATTGTAATGTCTTATCATAACATTATTTATTCAGTTGTCATAATTTTTCTTTTTCCATCCTTCATTAATCAACAGCTCATTCTGTAAATAATAATAATAACAAGAAGAAGAACATTGTCACCGATGATAACACTTAATAATTCTATAATATATTTCTAATGTGTCTATAATTTCAGGTTAATTTATATGTATGTGTAAGCATTTAATTGTGTTCTTGTTTCATATTTTTGTATACTTTTTTATTTACTAATCCTATTAAGATTTCCATCTATATGTATATATATCCTAAATTCTTTTTTTTGTTTACTTTGTATATTCGTTGTATAAATTCAACAACAACAACAACAACAACAAAAATGTAGTCGTTTATTCTATGTTTTATTCAGTTCATTTATTATATTATATTAAAGTAACTAAAAATTACGTTGATTACACTGATTTCTATGAGTTTTTCTTTATTACAAATTTTTTTTAAAAAAAAAATTATTTTCAAAATAATCAGAGTTCATCGGCAAATGAATTGAGCTTTGATCTTTTAGTCTTTCAAAGTTAACTATTTATCACCATAGAAATAAGATAATAAATAATTTTATAGTTGATTTTTAGAAAATTAATTGAATATTAAAGAGTATTAGATGGATATTTTATGTCTTCCTTAGATTTTTTTCAGGAAATACATTAAACTCAAGCTGTTCAAATTACCTCCCCCCTCCTTAGTTTAGAAGAGATGAGAGTAAACTTTATAATTTAAACTTCAGTTGTCATGATTTTACACTTGGTGTTAAAAATTATTTCTCATTAATTAATTAAATAGCTCACATCGTTTCATTTAAGTTTATGTTATTTCTTGTGTTATATGGTTTAAATTAATAAAATTGAATATGGCTATAAATTAACTGGAGACGAAAGCTCGTATCATCCTCAATACAAGTAGGTTATATAAGCGTATTATGAGTGCTTCAAAAATTTCAAGATAAAATTTGCTAGCATACCTAATTGCAGTTGTATATCCTACTATATTTAACATAAATCCTTCATCTTTGTTGTACTCTATACTCTATGAAAAGCCCTGATTTCTGAAACAATTCACAGTAGTCAAAGCGCATGATTTTAAACACATTCATTATTCTAATTCATAACTCGTAATCATACGGGTAGTACGTATAACAACAGTGCGCAATAACCCGTAGTTTTTGATTACCTTTATAACTAATACGTATTTTATATAAAACTACATAATATCTCTAGAATTAATTATTTACTGTTTTAGAGCGATTTTATCGGTGGTGACCTATTTAAAGATTTAGGATGCTTATTTTTCTGCTGCGCGTATACTGCAGCAAACCTTCCTGTTTTAAAATTTTGTTAATTCGAAAACCTGTAGGGAAAGAGAACATTTATTGGGATATCTGCACCTTAGTTTATTCTTTAAAGAAACAAGATGGAACTGTGTTGAAAATCATTCATTTAAGGTGTGATGGATGAAAAAATTAAGTTGTACCAGCTAAGCTACGTAGAGAACTTTCGTAATTAATGATAGCTCATGCTGACTACTAAAAATATGAACACTTTTAATAATTAAAATCTGGATATTTGTCAACAAGGAATTTGTTACAATGTTGGATAGTTTAGAATTTCTTATTGTGATAAAACTTATGGCACTAAGTAACGCAATTATTCTCGTATAAGACTGATGAGATGAAAGCTTAAAATTAAAAATGTTACATACTACAATTCAATCAGATCACTGATAATTCTTTGAAAATACAAATAACCTATCAAGTAATAACTACTGGAACTTTTGCTCTTTACTTTTCTTTCTCATCTCTTACTCACATTATCGATTTATATTTGTAATTTTTATGACTTAACTACTCTGACAATATTATGAACTAAGAATCTTGGTACACCGCTCGAAGACTGGCCTTCAAACAATGTGTTTATCCAAATTAGTTAATTCTAAAGTAAAGAAGGTTTTTCCACTATCTTTATGTACTCTGTTCCTTAGAATGGTTAATTTTATAAATTTCGAGAATTTAATCAAGTTGAAAGTGATCCGAAGTGTGATTTGTACCCAATTTGACCACACGTTTATTTCTCAATGCGTTTTGGATGAAAACAAGTTAGTAGCATAAAAAGTGGTGATCGAGATTCCAAGAGAGCAAAATATGGCCCAACAGAGAAGTATCGCAAACTTTATTTCATATAAGACGTCTGAAATGTTTCTCAGAAAAATTACAAAACCTATGTAAAAGGCTTTTCAGAAGCGTTATCACATTTGATTTACTAATGATAAAACTTTTGAAATTTATAGTAATGAAAATGACGCTTGTAATTAGTCCAAGCAATCATGTTCTTAATTCATTTCATACTGATACAAATAATCTCTTCTACATGGTGTTAATCTGTGTCTCAGTGCATGGATTCAAGTTTCGAGAAGTTTAATTAGCTATTCATATATTGTGCAAGTGATGTACTCGCATTGTGCAAACCTCGTGGGTGGCACTATGTCCTAATTGCTTACTTACGCCTATTACTCCTCGTGGAAGAGCATAGGCCGCCTACTAACACTCTATCTAACCCTGTCGTGGGCGATTCTTTTCATGTATGTGTGTTGTTCGGCCTTCCTCTTCTCCGTCTCTCTTCAGGATTCCAAGTTAGTGCTTGCCTCGTGATGCAGTTTGGTGATTTTCTCAATATCCTATCCATTTCTAACGTCTTTTCCTAATTTCCTCAGCTGGAACCTGGTTTTTTCCCCCATAGTAGTCTGTTGATGATGGCACATCCGGCCAACGGACATTGAGTATCATACGTAGATAACTGTTCATAAATACTTGTACGTTTTGATGATGGTTGTAGTAGTTCTCCAAGTTTCAGCTCCATACAGTATAACTGTCCTGAACTTCCCATTCAATATTCTGACTTTGATATTGGTTGACGGTTGTTTTGAATCCCATATGTTCTTCAATCGTAGGAATGGTGTCATTGCATTGCCAATCCCCACTATTACATCTGCATCAGATCCTCCTTGTTCATTGATGATGCTACTCAGAGAAGCGAAACTTTCCAACTATTCTAGAGTTCCTCTATCAAGTGTGACTACGTTGGTGTCCGCCTGTTGTATTTGAGGACCTTGGTTTTTCCATGATCAGTGTCGAGGCCTGCTGATACAGAGGTTGCTGTTACATCGGTTGTCTAGTTCTGCATTTGTTGATGTGTATGGAATAGAAGGACTAGTTCATCTGCGAAGCCCAAATCGTCTAGTTGCGTCCGGCCTGTCCGTTGTATTCCGTGCTTTCGGTCAGACGTCGATGTCCTCGTAATCCAGTCAACTACTAGAACAAATAGGAAGGGTCAGAGTTGTCAGCCTTGTCTGACTCCGGTCCACACTTGGAATGCATCTGTCAGCCGCCCTCCATGCATGATGTTGCAGTGTAATACATCGTTTGAATCCCATATGATGATTTTATCCGGTAAACTATGGTGTCGAAGATGTTTCCATAAAGTCCTCTTATCAACACTGTCGAATGCCTTCTCATAGCGATGGAACGTGATGTATAGTGACGAGTTCCATTCAGTTGATTGTTCAATGATGATCCGTGATGTCTCGATTTGGTTTGTGCACGGCCGATCTTTACCGAATCCGATGTGTTGATGTTGAAATTGAGCGTCCACTGAGTCTTTCATTCGGTTCAGCCACACTGTTGAAAACGTTTCCTAGTACTGATTTTGGTGTGATGCCTTTGTAGTTCTCACGTTTGCTTAGATCTCTTTTCTTTGGTATCTCGATGAGGTGTCCTTCTTTTCAGTCCATCGGCACTTGTTCCTCCTCCCAACTCTTCATGGACAGAGTATGAACCGTGTTTGCAGTTACTTTCATATCTGACTTCAGTGCTTCGGCTAGTATATTCTCAGGTTCTGTTGCTTTCCCATACTTGATTTTTCTGATAGCCATCTTGAACTCTTCGGTCGTTGATGGAGTGACATCTATAGGAAGGTCTGCGTGTTGCTTGGATATCCGGTGGATTTAATGGAGCTGGTCTATCCAAGAGTTCCTCAATTTGTCCTACCCACATGTCCTTCTGTTCTTGAATCTCATGGATTGGCCTGGCTTCTTTGTCCTTGATTAATGTCTTTGGTCCCTGCTAGTTCCTTTGCTGTGTCACATAGTTGTTTCATATTTCCATCTCATACAGCTTCTTCCACTTTCGTTGCTAGGTCTTCGATGTATTTCTGCTCGTTGGCCCTGATGCTCTTCAGTTGCTTGTTTACTTCTGCGTATTCGTCTTGTGTCTTGACTTTCTTTGCCCTTGTTTGGCTGTTGTTAAATGCTGTCTTCCTGTTCTTCTTTTCTCGAATCTTGCACATTGTTTCGGTAGAAATCAGTTCTTTATCATGATGCTTGTTGCGGGTCAGAACTTCTGACAAGTTGAAGTTAATGCTTCTTTGGCCTTTTTGCAGTTGTTCTCTATAGCGGCTTCTTCGTTCAGTAGATCCTGTAAGGCTTGGAACCTGATGTTGAGAGTTATCTGAATTGGTTGAGTTTTCCAGTATGTCGAAGGAATTCTGTAGTGATCCTTTTAATGCTGTGCGTTCAGTCTTCTAATGCTTCTTTGTCTTCAGTTTCTTCTTGGCCGTAACCAGATGGTGGTGACCTGAAGCTATTTCAACTCCGTTCTTAGTTCACACATCTCCCATTAACCTTCTGAATTTTTTATTGATACAAATGTGGTCGATCTGGTTCTACGCCGTGTGATCCGGTGAGATCCATACAGCTTTAACCATGCGTTTGTGTGAGAATATTGTTCCACCTATGACCAATTTGTTGAATGCACATAGGTTTGTAAATCTCTTCTCATTTTCGTCCCTTTCTCCTAGTCCATGTCTTTCCATGATATCTTCATATTCGATGTCGTCCATCCCGACTTTTGCGTTTAGGTCCCTCATCAAGATGGTGAGATCCTTTCTTGGGTACTTCACTATGATCGATTGCAGCCTCTCATTGAACTGATCTTTCATCAAGTAGTCCCTCAATAAAGCTAAACATGTTTTATGACGGTAAAAATAATAAAAGTATAAGGTTGGGAATAAGTATCATCTGTAATTAATAATAATCATTCAGTATTAATTACACTAACTCCGCCTGGAGTCCCTCTGGGGGCTACTGCCGGTCCCAAGCTCGGATAAAGGAGGAGGGTTGGGCATGGGGTTAGCGTCCCCATCCCGTAGAAAACTAACTCGCTAAAAAAACGCTAACCAGAAAAAAATCATTCAAGCCTTTTAGACTCTGCCCTGGGAGTCAGAAGGTCTTCATTTAGAAGAATTATGACGCCTCATGATGAAAGCCGAATTCCTTCGGAAGTTACGAGGCCGATGCCCCTTCTGACAACCAGAGCGACCATTTATTTAGGTACATGGAATGTTCGTACAATGTGGGACACCGGGAGAGCCTTCCAGTTTGCTGCAGAAATGAGAAGATATAACCTAGAGGTACTTGGTATCAGTGAAACACATTGGACACAAGTTGGACAACAACGACTAACTACAGGAGAGCTCCTGTTATACTCCGGCCATGAAGAAGAAAATGCACCACATACACAAGGAGTTGCATTGATGCTGTCCAAACAAGCACAAAATGCACTTATAGGATGGGAATCTCATGGACCAAGGATCATCAAAGCCTCGTTCAAAACAAA